CCTGGTCAGGGGCGCGGCTGTTCAACGGGACCACCAGCACACCCTCTCCACGCCACGGCGACCCCCGAGGCGACAGACCACGCGTCCGGAAGTCATTCATTGTGGACGGCACGTTCTGGATCCGTTCCGCGCCGCCCAGGCGCCTCTCTCCCTAATGTACCGCTGCCCACACGCGGGCCCGGCGTGACGCGTCTCAACGGCACACCGCCACCGACACATGGCCCCGGGCCGGGCGCGCCAGGACGCGGCCGGCGCGGCGCCAAATCAGCCTAAAAGCCCGGCGCCGCTGACTGCGCTAGGTCAGTTATCGCGGCCGGCTGGCGGCGCGCGGTGTCAGCTGCTGCAGAAATGTGACGTCACCAGCTCGGCGCGGGAGAGCCGCGCGTGAAGGGGAGACCACACCCGCATTGAGAGGGGGGGGGGGGGGGGCGCACAGTGAGGAGTTTCGTGAGAGGGAACAAATTTTTAAAGGGATCCCTAGTGGTTTTAGGGGTTTATTCAATATTGTCCACCTAAGTTCGATGACCGGGGAGAGGGGAGGAGGGGAAGGGAATTCTATAGTACGCCAGGTGGTACCGTCAAAATTCGGTATTATTTCCTGGTATTGCTTGCAGGTTAAAAGCCCTCTTGTCCAGAAGGAGGAATGAAACTAACTATTGCTCCGATAATAGAAAGGTGAGACCATAGTTTGTGGTCAAACATCAACAATCACATAAACGCGATCTAACGCGTCATTTTTACCGCATGCGTTATTACGTCTTTAAATAGACGCCTATACCAATGATCTAGCCATGCAGATTTGCCATAACATCACCACTACGATAGCCTAAATTTGGGAACTTTCAAGGATATAGTCAGCTTATAAGGATATAGTCAGCTTATAAGGATATAGTCAGCTTATAAGGATATAGTCAGCTTATAAGGATATAGTCAGCTTATAAGGGTATAGTCAGCCGTGTCGGCGTCCGTTGACCTTATGTTTTTGTTATGCGGTAGGTGCCGGGATGTGATGCAGAGCGTGGGTACGCTCTTCCAGATTTAAAATGTTTGCGTTTGGTGCATGTCATTTGACTTTATTAGTCGATCTACAGGTGTGTGTTTTATGGTGTAACTCATAATCTATCCCAAACCGATCCAGCGCTTTAAAATAAAATCCGCCCACCTTTAGCTTTTTTAACAGCTTCAGATTATCATTCAATCTGACAAAACAAAGCAAAAGTATTGGTAAGCCTTCATTATCCTAGACTGATCCTATCAATTCGTCCCATAGTTGTCAGAGGCGATTCATTGCACTTCATCCCAATTCAGCTCAGGATGACAAATAAAGCATGCATAAGGATTTAAGGATTCTGTGCCGGGGTTTAGGGAGACTGTCTTGGGGCTGCCACCTACCCAAGTACCAGGCAATCGCATCGCAACGCGTGAGCGGGCAGGTGGGGGGGGGGGGGGACGGGGCGCTCCGGACCAGGCTTCAGTCTCGTGCGCCGGAAACCATGACACGTGGGAGCCAGTGCAGAACAACGATCTCCCACGAGAATGAACCGAGATCTCCTCCAGGAACAGGCCAAAGTCTCCCCGAGGATGTGCCAAGACCTTCCCCGGAATGGATCAGGACCTCCTCCAAGAATGCACCAACATTTCCACGAGAATGTACCGAGATCTTCCCGAAAATAGACCACGATCTCTCCGAAACTAGACCGAGATCCAAAACAAAGGCATATTGGTACAAGCAATTGAAAAAAAGCTAGCGCTGTGGCGAAATCGGCGAAAACTCAGGCTGATGAGCTTTGCAAGCTAGCATTAACACTCATATCATTACACAACCCTGCAAACGGTCGCAGGTCGGCGCCGCAGCAGCGGAACCAACCGCTCCCTCAGTGCGACAGGTGCCGGACGACGACCGAAACGGCGATGGCCTGTTCGCGACCCGACACCCATTGACAGATCACTGAGCCCCGCACCCCGCCCTCCAGCCCGGCCCCGGGACGTTCCCGGTCATCTCCGACTGACCGGAGGTCGACCCCCCCCCGCCCTGCTCCCGCCCACACCTCTTCCGCCAGGGCCGCCCTTTGACCGCGCGCCGACCAGGAGGCACGGATGATAGAGGCGCGGTGTTTGCACAGATCGCGGGCGGCCCTGCTTGATGCCGATAGCCGGCCGGCTCATCCGTGCACGAAGCGCCGCCGCTGTGTGCTCGGCGGAGATAGCGGCCGGCCGGACGGCGCAGCCTTTGGGACGCGCCGCCGGCCAAACACCGCAATCGCCGGCCGGCACCTGCCTGTGTGAGGAAGGCATAGGTCGGATTCCGCCAGGTGCGTGGCGGAGGTGCGGCGCGCGGACTTCGGAGCGGCGCGGTGCCGGCGGCGCCAGCGTCGGCCCTGGGTCAGCGGTGGCCGGCCGCGCCGTCGCTGCCGGCGGCTGCGGGGCCTGCCGCGGGGCGGGTGGCCCGCCGACTGGGCGCACCGCTCTTCTGCTCCGGATCGGCGCCGGCTCTGGGCGACAGTGTGTCAGCTTTGCTCCCCTGGGTAACAGTGTGTCAGCTTCACTCCCCGCCGAAGAGCTTTCCATGCATTCGGGGAGTGTGCTCGCCGCATGTTTCTGGACTTGAACACGACACCTACCGGCGCTGCGTGGAGAGCGTTGGTTTACAGTTTTCGTTGCGCGACTCCGCAAGCATTGTGAAATATTCCACACCACCATTGCCCTTATGCTCAACGCCGGCGAATGTTGACATTCATGATGAGCAAGAATTAATGACAGTTGCATGGCCGATGCCCCCTATATCCTGACTAATCCGGGAAAAAAGAAGTGACTTTCAGCAAGTCTAAACTTGGCGGTGGGAAGATCAGCTGACTCTCAGAACTTCTCATAGCGTAATGCTTGTTATGCGCTATGAATGCACCGGATGACCAAGGCGGCTGGGTTTTACCTATCACAGCAATTCCGACGTGTCTCAGGTGGTGCTTCACATAGCCAGCAGCTCTTCATGAGCTTGTCGTGCATAGACAGACATTACATGTCGTTACATAGACATCGTGTAAGAGACAACTTTTGTGTTGGTGATTAGACCACCTGGATGCGCTCGATCAGCTTTTTTATATCTGTAGCGCTTGTCGGTTTCATGTATTTGGGCTCATTTTGATCTCACGTAACTATTTGAAGCGCAGGCCAGAGTTGCGTTCAAATGATGCATGAGTTTGGAGCACCGGACTGAGACACGGTCCGTCGAGCCGCACGCCCACTTGGTGTTAAGACCCGTCTCCACGGGAGCAATCCTGACAGCCTGGCTGACCAATCCGGCCCCACCCACCACACCAGCCCCGAGACAGACACGAGTCTCGCTGTCTGGATCAATGTATAATCACGTGCCACGGGTTATCTCTGCTCCATCAGCCCTGACGAGCGACGACTTGAGTGCCTCCCACCCAAGCCCCAACCGGCACCGAATCAGCAGTCCCAGTCGGCAAAAAATCACCTAATGTAACCAGCAAAAACCATGCTCGGCTGCCGCCGCACCGGCCAGCGGCGGGCGTCCATGGACGGAGGCCCTACTGGGGCCCGCTACTTGGATGGAGGCCCCGACCAGGACCCACTGCGTAGAAAACGACCCTGCCGAGGCTCACTGCGTGTATAGAGGCCTGGCCGGGGCGGGCCGCGTGGACGAAGGCCAGCCCAAGGCCCCCTGCGTGGACAGAGGCCCCGACCAATGTGTGTCTTGTGGACGCAGTCCCGGCCGGGGCCTGCTACGCCGTCGCTGATTGGCCGATGGCTGCCGAGACAAATACATTTTTGGCGCGCCCGAGACGAGCCGGCGCCGGCCGGTGAGTGGCCGGCTGGACTGCCTAATGACAGGTCGGCGCAGCGCCGGCCCGCCCCGCGCCAGATGACGCCGCCGCCGCGCCAGAGCACGCCCAAATCTCCGCCAATCGCCGGACGTTGAACTAGCGGCAGCGCACCATCTGGCGACGCCGCCGGCCCCACTCTCGGCCGGCGGTCAACAGCGCCTCCCAATTACCTGGCCGTGAGTCGGCCTAAATAGGCGGCCTCACGACACCGCTAAACGGCGCGCCAGTCCGCGCACGCGACGCGCGGCGCCGCCCGGGCCTGGCGGGACTTCGACGGGGCTCTCGTGTCGCCGCGGGCCCTTGGCAGGGCTCCAGCGTCGCCCTCGGGTCTCGGCGGGGCTCCCGCGCCGGATAATAGCGCGCGACGCCCGCGCAATTGGCGCGTTCGAGTGCTGTGTTTATAAGCGCGGCGGTGTGGCGGCGGCGCGCGTGGCGGCCATCAGCCGGAGACTATCACAGCATGCTCTATCACGCCCGCCGGCCGGCGTGCACTTGTCTGGGGGCGATGGGCGGCGATAGGGCGGCCACGCTCCCCGGGGGCCGCGCCGCCCCAGCCGGTTACCGACAATAATCCAATACACCTCCGTGCTTATCGTTGTTATCTCAATATGTTGGCCCAGCTCCCCCCGCAGATACTATCCGCGAGCGGGGCCCGGCCTCTCTGTGGACACCCCGGCAGAGCACGCGCATCCTACACCCGGCTAATCTGGAGGCGCGGCGCGCGTTATTGAAAGGCGCGCCCCTAATGAAATACGCCCCCCTCCCCCCTTCCGACGCCTGGTGTCGGCCCCTGCCCACTGATCTCCGTCCCCATACAGAATGAGGCGTAATCTGTTTTAAAACTGAGAGGTCGGCTTGGAGAGGCACCAGGGCAGAACGGCGTTATTGTCCGGCCTGCCGGTGTCAGGTGGCACCGCTGCTGCAGCGCCGAACAGATCGATGGCGAATGCGTCGAGCCCCGCCCTGGACACGAACACTGCGGAACAGCCGTCAAGCCAGGCGCCGCGCGCCCCACGCACCAGCCCGCGGACATCCCTTGAACTCGCCTTCTACGGGCGGCCCGCATGCCGCGCAACATTCCCGCCGTTTTTACGGCGGCCCGCACACAAAAAGCGGCAATTTGCACGTGACATTGTGCCGGGCAGTGGCGCCTACCTGACGACTTCGGCGTGGTCGCCTCCTGTTTGGGCTCCAGCGCAGACAACTTGGTGTTATTGTTGTTGTTCTCGCACAGTTTCTCCGACTGGTGGTCGTCCTTGCAGAAGAGTCCCTCGTCCGTTAGCGCGAACTCGTCGCCGGGAACGAGCTGGCGGTCGCACAGAGCGCAACGAAAACAGTCTATGTGGTATATTTTGTCCTTGGCGCGCATCACAAAGTCCGTTTTCCGGAAGCCGTCGCCGCACTTTTCGCACTTGGTCCCGAACAGCCTGCGGGAAAGGAGGCTCGTCACTGGACAGAGATGGCAACAAGTGCTGCGCTTCAAGGACAGGGGCGATGAAAAACGTGGTTGGGAGGATGCCCAGACTTTCACATGGAGGACTAGGGATCTATTCTAAAGCGGCCTCTTGACCTCTGGACGATTATGTGACTGCCAAACCACCCAAATACCAGATACCAGATATCAGAACAGGGGTGTGTGTAGGTTTTAGCAATGGAGGACAACGCGAGTCTTTTTGTTGCTTAAAGCACGTTTCATTGCGCCCCAGGCGTGCTTTTTTGTTATGAGACTTATAACGATTTTGCATGCTTTTGCTCCAACTATTTCTTAAGTGTGTACAGTTTTTCATCATCTATTTTGCTCAAATAGATAAGTCATATAAGGTAAAATATATATGTGGAATTTCATAAGGATGGTATGAAATTTCTCCTGATTTCATACAGTAACCATACTCTGTCATAATTTCATACCGAGGACGCAAATTTCACGTGTCCTCGGTGTCTCCCCCCCCTCCCCCACCCCCCCTCTCCTCTTGAATATTCCCCTGGAACAAGAATGCACGTCGCTCAGCACGCACCAATCAAAGCCAACTTATCCCTGACTGCAGCCCAACAAAGTCGACCCAAATTCAACTGGGGGTCACATCATTGGCAAGGAAATAAATTTTACGTTGACTCAAGGAAAATTTGTTTAGTTTCGGAATCGACTCCGATTTCTCCCAGCGTCAAGTACAAGTCTGATGACAACTGAAGTCGTGGCACTTCGTGAAGACCGCGTCATGATGTGCACCGGGAACTTCAAGAATTCTGTTCAAATGTCTGCAGCCGAAAAGCCTTAAGATCGTATTGTAATAAACTAGTCCATAAAGCATACAAACATAATTCTGAACTAACTTATTCTATTGTATCAGATTATTGCAATTTTCAACTGATATTTCACGATGCTAGCAGTGCAACCAGCGTCATCTAATATTGGTTTGCATTGCTGTCCCTGTGCGTCTGGAGCCATTCTGACCGCACGTTCGCCTCTTGTACCAATGACTGAGGCCGGCCAGTCAATCTTACGGTGATCACTGCTCACATCCGGTAAGGGATCCAATTGAGGAGGTCATTATGCCAAAGGCGGTAATATGCATTGTTCTGATTAGTGGCTCCTAGTGGGGCGACTGTCCTGCCGTTAGGGTTAGCAAAAAACGTGTATTTTGGGCTAAATGTCGCAGTTCACAAAACTGATTTTATCAATTTTATTTAAGGTAAAAGTTGTGAAACGGTGGCAATTTACAGAACGCTCGTCCATTAAACTGTGATCTCCGAATACGAAAGCCAGCGCAACTCAGAATCTCTTGCAGGGTGAAAAAATGCACCAGGTCTATTTTTTAAGATTTCTTTATTTTCAGGAAAGGGCTATATGCAATAGCGACGCGCTCATGCAACAAAGTCGTTGTTCAGCGCTGCACTCAGCTGCAGCCAGTGCTGTCTAAAACCGGACTGCATACTGGCATTAGCCTGGAGTGGAAGGCTTTTACGATGTGCCCCCGGCACCGTGTGACCGTAAACACTGCGCGTAAGACACCGGCTCCTAAGTGCTCCGCCCTCGAAAAGAAAGTAGGCCCCGTGAAATATAGTACGCAGGCCCAGAGACGGAGAATCGTTGGCCTGGATGTGTCTATACGGTGTGTTGGCTGTTCGCAAGTGCTACGGCTAGAAAACAGCTGGTGTAAAAACGTGTTGACGACTGAAACTGTCATCAAGTAAGCACAACATCGGCCTCCTGTTTTGGCGCCTGTGATTTCGCTCGTTCTTGTTTTGACTGAGCCACGCACGCTCCAAAGGAACATCCCTCTAGAATTACAGGCTCAAACTTTGCTTTTAGCCGTATGCGGCGCCCTACGACCGCAAAGTCAAAGTTGGTCATATTGATTTCTCATTGTCTGCCGAATTGCTGTCGTCGGAGTCATTATCGTCCGGCAGTACTGCACTAATTATATTCGCCACAGTCAAATGAGAAAATTATCGCGACATCTTTAATTTAAGACAACTAGATACAAGAGCGTAGTCCCTAATCAGCACCGGCCTGTTCCGGGAAATCTGCAAGCTAAAGATGCGATATCAAGTCGGGACCCTACCCGACTGCTTGAAGCAACGCACGTGAATGAAACGCAGGGAGCATCCGTAGGGTAGCAATTTATGCAGCGAAAAGGCTGGATTGATTACAGTGTTGCACGCAAGCATTAACATTTGTTGCGATTGCAAACTGTCGCCACGCTCATGTGAATGGCAAATGGCCCTGGCTCGTTATCGTCTTCTTCATTACAACCCAGCATACATATTTATAAGTCCAGAAGGTAGTTCTACCGAATGAACTGACGGCTAACTGGCATCTCGTCGTGCACCTCGCGTGGGGTCCAGGGCTGACGACAGAGCTGCAGGACACCACACAATTTTTATGAGCGTCAGAGAAGCATCCAGGGAAGGTCAGATAGGTTTCACTCCCCTCCTGCGGGAAATGTTATAACTGAACTCCTCGCCTCCTGCGTGAAACAGGAGTCCTTGATGTAGGGGGCCCGTGCTTTCCCGGCGGAGCGGATGGTGATGAGACCTGGAGCATAATGAGCCCACGGGACGACCGATGTGACCAGCACTGGAGCCGCGAAGAGAGTCCTTGTTCTCCTGACAGGACTGCAATTTTCGCAAAGGTCTCTTCCATTGAAGGAATGTTGCTTGAACCTTGTGGGAATTATCAGGGACTCCGAAGCGCTGAGATGAAACATAAGTTCTGATTCCAGACTCCAGACTTCCTCGGATTGACGGGGTCCCCGGACGTGTACAAATGCCCCGCTTATATCCAAAAACGTCTCATGAGATGAAAAAAGTTCCTGACACAAGCCTGTCTTCCGCTCTGACGCCTATGCGCTCTACCCAAAATGTTATTGACCAGACCACTGGCCAATAACGTGTTTAAAGGAATCGTGCCGCCTCTGCACGAGGTTTACAAGTAAGATGGCCAGGGCTCGGCTGCTCATCTCCCTCCCAGACCTTTCAGCTCGGTCAGGTGCGTTGCCCTCGCATACCTGGGAAAACTGACCCTTTTCCGCGCCGCGGAGAAGGAAGTTTCATGAGTGTTTGTTTCTCTGTCTGCGTCCGCAACAGTGTTCGTAAGAGAGTTTTCGACGTTCTCAACGTTTTGAGACAACAAAAAGTATTAAAGAAGCCCTCTCGAGTTAAACCTTCCAAATGAACTTTTCAAGTAAGCCTTCCGCATCGACGACCAGACTTCTGTTTGAATCCAGTTGGGCATAGTTGACCGACTTTGACCTCATTTAAAGAGCTAATTACTACCCTCACCCAGCGAACTTTGGCAGATTGAAGTGAACTCTATAGCTGGCTCCGGCTGTCTAAAAACAGATGGTATGTGCACTGGCTCTGAACCGCGAGAATTGCTGTCAATTATTTCCAAGTCGACTCGAGGGAAGTTGGCGCTGCTTGCTTGTTTTACTCCTTGTTTTTTGCATCTCTCCACCTTATTCAGCTTATAAGTTGAGCAGTAATTACAATGGGCTGGTTTCATTGCTCTCGCGGAAAACGGTGTGGGTCATTTCGACGCTAAATGACCGGAGACATTCAACGCATTGTTAGCCACAATAAGAACGATTATTGACATGTAAGAGATGCATACTGCAGAAAGTTCATTTTATAAGGCGGTGAGTGGTGAGCACTTTGCCTATGCAATTCCCAGCCTCAATCGCATGCTGGTCACTTTATTGTGTCAGCCATATAGCATGCATATATATATATATATATATATATATATATATATATATATATATATATATATATATGTACAGTCCACTCTGAATCAATACAATTCTGGCTGATTCCTGAGCTAACTCAGAGTGGGAGTCGAACACAGCTTTGTCGGCAACACGATAGTTCTAATCTTATCATGCCAGAACCTAGGCAAAGAGATAAGAAAGCAGGCTCGCATTATAGTCCACAAAGAGATAATTGCGGCCATCAACTCGCTAATGCATAAAACGTACCACTACTTGAGCCCGACTGCGGTTTTCTACCGGAATGCACAGTGTCAGACTGCAGGGACAAAAGGCGTGTCACCTGACCGAAATGTCATTGCCAACGCGCAACGCCCTGGCAGGAGCCGCCGCCGTTGGTCGGTCATTGGTTGACTGATGCTGAGCGCAGCATGACGCAACGACACCGCGTGTTCCGGTTGGAAATCATGACGCACCTTTTGACGAAACTTTTCTAGCACGTTTTGACGAAAACAAATAGCATGCCTGCGTCCAGCCTATGCTGTTTCGCTCTTTTCTGGCACTCTTAAGGGTAAAACATTGCCCGTGAACATGATGGCGCAAGATGCATAAAACGCCGTTGTTGAGCTTACATCAAAGAGTCGTTTGATTGTCAGAGAACAAGTGTACCGTTGGGTCCCATGACTTTTCGTGGTATTGATCTTTTTCATGCAAGTCAGATTTGGCACCTTCCCTGAGCAAGACCCGCCTGCAACAATGCTGCATCTTTACCATGAGAGTATGCAGCATGCAGATATCACTCCCGCCGCAACAAACCAAATACGCCATCTAAAAATCCCTCCCACACAGATGATAGTACCCACTGGCTAAAAGCTTACACATCTGCATGGAGGTCCGATCCCCAGGCGTGGGCGTGTGACACGTGTGATTGTACGCGGCGCCAGACTTGTCGCTCTCGCTGACATGTCCCCAGCATCACGAAACCTACGTGTGAGTGTCTGGCCGGACTGGGTGGACTCGCCTTACGTTATTCAGCTCTTGAGAACCACCGCCCAAACCTGAACCCGGGCGAACAGTGAAAGGGAGAGGAGGAAGGGGCGTGGTGTGAACATCAGCTGTGCCGCGGTACCACTGCAAGGCGCCGAATGAACCATTACACCGTCTGGCAGTACCGATGGTGGCGAGTGAAGAGAGGAGCGAGCGGTAGCACTCTCTTTTGGATTTTACAAAATGTGACATTAGCCCCTAAGTATCGTACGTTTAGGCTCCAAGCCGGCCTGGTCCGCGGGTCCTACGGTCCTCGGCGGCAATGCCTGGTGCTCTTGGCGGCGTGAAGTGGGGGCTATCGAGGAACCCGGCACCGTAATGCTGTCGATGAACATTGGCGCCTCCGTAGCTGGACGCCAACTCTGCCTGTGATGGTCCGCGGTGCCCTGGTCGGGCGGTAGTGCTGCTTGTGATGGTCCGCGGTGCCCCGGTTGGGTAGTCACGCTGTCCGTGATGGTCCGCGGTGCTCTGATTGGGCAGTAGCGCTGTCCGTGATGGTCCGCGGCGTCCTGGTTGGGCAGTCACGCTGCCCGTGATGGTCCGCGGCGCCCTGGTTGGGCAGTAGCGCTGTTCGTGATGGTCCGCGGCGCCCTGGTTGGGCAGTAGCGCTGTCCGTGATGGTCCGCGGCGCCCTGATTGGGCAGTAGCGCTGTCTGTGATGGTCCGCGGCGCCCTGATTGGGCAGTAGCGCTGTTCGTGATGGTCCGCGGCGCCCTGGTTGGGCAGTAGCGCTGTCTGCGTGATCTGCGGTATGTTAGCCAACAGCAACAATGGCTGTATGATTGGAACTTATAGCATATTTGGAAGTGCTTGCCCACTCACCTTCCCTCTCCACGTCCATTGCTTCTGAGCGTAAAATCGAAGGACGCAACATGCATCATGTATAAATAATTGTTGCACAATTATACCATGCCGCGTCAGAGATTTGAAGAAAAAAATCCGCCTCTGGCTATCTGCAACGAGGACTTACGGCTTTATCGTATTACTGACATTTGTTGACGTCACGTGCTTGTTTACTAAGGTTCCTGTCGAAGAGACAATATTTGTGATCTGTGACAAACCCATAAATGACCACACGCTGCCAGAATGAACATTTCTGACCATTGTCTCAATCGAGTGCCTCATCAAGCTGTACATCAAGAATGCATCACACTTGCTTCCTGCGGGAAGTCAAGTTTTACGTGCAGACGGAACGTAACACAGCTGGTCTTTCCCTGTCTATGGTTTTCGTGAACGTGTGCATAGCGGTTTTGGAAGATCTGGCGCAGTGGACGGTTCCATTGGGACCGGATGTATGGAAAAGGTACGGGGCCGACGTCTCTGCCACCTGGGAGCATGGGCGTCACGCCTTGATATGGGGCCGACATCCCTGCCACCTGGGAGCATGGGTGTCACGCCTTGATATGGGGCCGACATCTCTGCCACCTAGGAGTATGGGCGTCACGCCTTGATGCGGGGCCGACATCTCTGCCACCTAGGAGCATGGGCGTCACGCCTTGATACGGGGCCGACACCTCTGCCACCTGGGAGCATGGGCGCGACGCCTTCAACGACTTATTTGATGACGTTGACTCCATCTCGGGCCTTCAGTCAATGTCACCCTCAAAATTGAAAATGAAGGATGACTTCCCTTTCTCGACGACCCTGTCACCGGACAGAATAACACTATCGTCATGGACGGACATGTATCGCAAACCGACTCTTACCAATGTTTATATCAAATACAAATATCGCCGCCCAAGGAAGAGCAAGATCGGGTTGGGTAAATGTTTAACACAGGGAGCAAAAAGGATATACGACCCATCTACACTCCAAAAATGAGCCGACTGGCACCTTTACAGAAAATGGGTATCCCCCAACTTGGTGCCGGATCTACTCCGACCCAGCAGCCAGACGGCAGGCCGGCAGCCAACCAAGTCAGACTCTCGGTGCTACTCCGACCGGACAGCCAGAGGGCAGGCCGGCAGCCAGCCAAGCCGGACTTTCGGTGCTACTCGGCGCGAGGAAGCTCGTTGCTTTCCGTCACTCTATTGCTCAGTTGTCAGGGAAGATCCAGCACCAGGGACCGCACGGATCGGTGGACTGGGGGTGGCCGTGGACTAGAGTGACCGCATGGTTCAGTGGACTGGAGGTGACCGCATGGTTCGGTGGACTGGGGGTTGCCGTGGACTGGGGTGGCCACATGGCTCGGTGGACTGGGGGGTGACCGTATGGTTCGGCGGACTGGGGTAGCCGTGGACTGGGGGGTGGCCGCATGGTTCAGAAGACTGGGCATGGCCGTGGACTAGCGGCGACCACACGGATCGTTGGACTGGGGTGACGGCACTGGTCAGTGCTCACCACGGTCCTTTCGCGTGTGACCGGAAGTGACTCGCAGCCGGACACAACTGACGGACAGCCGTCAAACACGCCTTTTTGCGCCCGCACTGAGGTGGCGTGGTACAATGCGGTCGCGTGCGTCCGTCGGCATGGGTGTCGAAGGGCACAGGAGGGTGGGGGAGAGGGGAGGGGGGTTCCACCTGCCGGTCCCAGTCGAAACGCTGCTTCAGCGGGGGCCATCAAACATTAATGCCGGACATAATTGTGGCGGTGATTGTGCCGCGAGCTGGCTTTTTGTAGCGGCCGTGGTCAGCCGGGCCGCTTGTTTGGACGGATTGGTCCCTCTGATAGCGCTCTATCGCTGCCGGCCCGACAGAAATCAGCAGTTCAACGAAACGCCCCGGAGCATGGAACGGAAAGCTCAAACACCGGCAAAGCACTGTCTTAAATTATAGCAGCCAGGTCCAGAGAGATAAGAATGAGTGCAGGGACCGTCTTCAAGTGATAAGGCCTTATTGTCTGGACGGAGGATTAGACATCAATATTTCATAGCCCTACATTCCCGAGCAAAGTAGGTTATGTGTAAGGCCAATGTCAGTGCAGGTGTAGGTTTGCTTTGCTTTGATATTAACTACACACATCTGGTTCCTATAAAAAACTGAGTACGCTTTATGTGAAGTAAGTGCGGTATACTCTCATGACAGAAAACCGTCGTAAGTCCGTTCCTTTGTGCGCAAATTCAAAATTTACATTCGCTCCGATTTGAGCCTTACTCAGCATTTACCGGTTGTCACACATCACTCGAAATAGGTGCTAAGGCAGAGATGTTTTGCTGTTACGAATGGCTGAAATTAAGCCATGAATTTCACGGTGCCCTCATTGAGTTGTCATGGATGCATACCGGTATTGAAAAATGGTCATTGGTCGAGACATCCAATGGAGCAGAATATTAATGGTCGTTGCCCTCGCTGTTACACATCAGCTTCGTATGACAGAATTCCAAGAAAAAGTCGCGTCACGCACACTAATATTGAACGAATCGGAAATAGTATTCAGAGGCTAGATATGAAACTGAAGGAGTGAACACCGGAAGTTTTGACCGGCGTGAGCGTGATGGCAGAAGAGAGCCGTAGATCATACTGGGGTGGCACTACTTGTGGGATATCTCTGGCGTTATCAAATGCTTGGTCTGGCACAGCAGCGGCTACCACTAACGACACCGGCCAGCCGTTTTCCTTTCTGGCCCTCCGCAGCCTAGGGTCCGTAGAACAGCGCCGGTCCTCCCCCCCCCCCCCCTCCCTCACATCGCCTCGCACAGTCGAGGTGCGCTCACCTGACGTAGTCGCTCTTGCAGTACGTCTTGCTATCACGCACGAAGCACGTGCACGTCTCATCGAGGAACTGGTTGCACTCTGCGCAGCGCAGGCAGGCGGCGTGCCACTCGAGGTCGGGTGACACGCGCAGGATGTACTGGTCGTGGATGGCGCCGCCGCAGCCCGCGCACTGCGACGTCTTCTTGCCTGGGGAGACGCAAGCGGGTCTGGGTCAGTTAGTCCTCCGGATGGGACTGGGGACGGTGCAGGGGCTCCGGATGGGACTGGGGACGGCGCAGAGGCTCCGGATGGGACTGGGGACGGCGCAGGGACTCCGGACGGGGCTGGGGGCGGGACAGCGATACCGCGTGGGCGCAAGCTCGCGTTTGCGTTGGCCAACTTTGTAAGGAGTTTGACTGTTGTGACCACTCGCACTGGATTGTCTAACAGCCCTACAACCTTGCAAGACACGCTTCACGTACAACCGTGTGAGTCAGGTGTAGAGTTTCGTTGGTCGACAGGGGATGGGACGAATAATGAGGTTGGGGTGAGGTCATTGAGGTGGCGGTGGTAACGTCTTTCTATTGATCCGTCTGGCTGCCCGCAAGCCGGCGTAGCTAACTATACAACAGAAACTGCTTGAAACCCTAGAGAAATAGCAGCCCACGACGCGGAAATCGTGGAAAGGGAATTCTAGAAAAGGGAATTAAATTCTGCCACCGCGTATCATCAAATGCTCGACGTATGGCCAAAGGTCGCAAGAAACTGCGTAAAATGGAAACGCATATCTCTAGGCGCACGTTTAACATGATGTCAATGTGAATGTGTCGCTGAAAGAGCATCATAGGGATTCTAAACATCGGGAAAGATCTTCAGTTCAGAAATCAAATGGATCTCGTAGGTTGTGCTTATGTGTCTTCATTCCATGACCTTATGTGCGCTTTGCATGATAAGCTTTTGGCCTTTTCTGGTCCTCTTGCGTGTGCATAGTAACACATTTCCACCGCATGCTTGCCACAGTTGACAAAACGCATACCTCCGCTGAAGATGTGCAATAGATGTTACAAAAATGGTGACAATCCTAACATAACTAACGTGATTCGTCTCGATTTCTCCAGCCCCCGGCTGTTTTTGCACACTTGCGAGATGTTTGCCCACCCAGTTGGGCGGCGCGCCACCGCCGCCAGCTGCCTCGTGGCTCAGCGCTCCCTCCGCTCCTTGTTTCGATATCGCAGCCACGCTAATCCGCTGAAAGGAAGCGGCGTCGTCGGAGGGGGACGGCGGCCGCGTGAGAGGGCCCCGGGCAGGGGCGGACAGGAGATAGAATCTTATCTTGTCTGATTCCACCTGGCACATGTCGGGTATCTCGTCTGCTACAGCTGTTCTGCGTTTAGCGGCGGGGCGTCAGTTTTTGCGCGGCCGGCGTCAGGTCCGGAGTCCGGCCGATCCGCACCATAGCCGCCACTTCTTCACGGCCGGACGCGCGGCGAATCCAAACAGACTGTCAGCGTCGAGCGCTGCTGGGACGGGCACCAGCAGCGGGCGCCGTTCCCAGGCCGCCGGGATGGCGCTATCAGCGCCCGATTTGTGTATATTTAAAACAGTTTTTCGACCAGAGCCGATTGTTTTGCGGCGGGTGCGGCGTACATCGCGATATGTCCGCTCGGGCCGACTGGTCGGTGCCACCGGCGGGCCTGCGAGAGCCTTCGGAATGGAGACCTGTGTTCGACCACGGCTCACTCGAAATGACAGGTCGCCCTTCGAGATCGCCCTGTTCTGCTGGCGGTGCTGTCGCTGCCAGCTAGTCATGTGCCAGACATCAGGCGGTGCAACTCCTGGAATGCAGTCCTGAACAGCTGAAGCTGTGTTGTGGCTTGCAATAAATTATTCAAGTGTTTGTTTACGATCCTGTTCGGAGGGTTTGAGATAAGACAGCGCGGCATTTGGGCACTTTCATGCCCGTCTCAGCTGCCTTCGTGTATTTTTTGCGAAACATACGCTGAAATCAGAACCCCTATCTGGACAACTGGCTTACCGTATGGATATTGGAGCCAGCGACCACGCCATCCATGACAGTGCAGAGCTCAGTTCAGTCGGGCTATTTGCATGCTTGTGGGGGGAGGGATGCCCCCGCTCCACTGCCAGGACAGATGGGAGCGCCCGGCGCCTTCTCCAGCCGCCGCCGTGGGCGGGAGCGGGAGCAGCTCGGCTCCCCCGCTCCCACCGAGCCGTGGCCCGACAGCGGCACGATCCGCAGGGAGCCTCGCCCGGCCGCCGCGCCCAGCCGCCGCCGTGGGCGGGAGCGGGAGCAGCTCGGCTCCCCCGCTCCCACCGAGCCGTGGCCCGACAGCGGCACGATCCGCAGGGAGCATCGCCCGGCCGCCGCGCCCAGCCGCCGCCGCGGGCGGGACCGGGAGCAGCTCGGCTGCTCCGCTCCCACCGAGCCGTGCAGCTCCAGCAGTCGGGCTGCCTGCAGCCGCTGACAGGGGCCCGGCGGGCCGTGACGCGGCCCCGGCGGCAGCTCGGCGTCCGAGCGTAGCCGCCCGGGGCCGCCGCCGGCCGCGCGCTTCGCCCGGTAGAAGCGACCGCCGGAAACGGTATGTCAGCCGGCGCCGGCCGACCAGCCCTCCGCGCCTATTCACGACATCAAACACAGAGGCATGACGCCCGTCACAGGAAACTAGCCTCTTTCATGGCTGCCGGCCAGGGAGATGCATCAGTATGATAAGGCGCGCACGCCAAGGGAAGTGAGTAATTAATTTCGAGTGAAAACGGCGTGGGATAACAATTAAACCACCGGCCGTTTACGACCCCAAAAACAGCTAGGCACTTCGTAATATCTCGCCGACTAACGGCTCACCGCAAGCTAAACGCAAACAAAGTCATGTAACTATTAAGCCAAATCGAAACCGTGAACGACGAAGCCCGCGGACAGTTGCGTCCTCCCGTTAACTCGGCACATACCAGGTGCGATTTCCTGGGCTGTCCACAATAAGTGGGGGCATCATCCGAGCCTCTTCAAAACAATTTAATCACTTCCACGCCCCGCACACCCCACCAAAGCCGACGAAGGTGGCTGCCGGACAAGACACGCGCCTCGTGTGTGCTTACGTGTGTATACCCGCGAAACGGCTGTTTTTGACGGCGCTGATCCTAATGACACGGTGGCGCACCGTCTGTCCTCAGCGGGGCCGCGGCTCCGTTAATTGCCCGGGCTCATCAGCACGCAGGCGTGCCGGCCATATTTCAGCTGGCGGTGTTGGGCTCGGCAGCGCCTGTCGCGCCCAGCTGCGGTGCAGGTGCAAACGGCTGCTAAAAATCAATGGTGAACTTGAGCCGGCGAAGCGCGCCCGGGGTCAACAAGTGTCTCCGCCGGCGCCCGACTCAGGTGGGCGGGGGAGGGGGCACGCCTGCTATCTGGGAGAGTCACAGGCGGCCGAGAGCTCGGCAGACACCCGTGAACGGTAGCCCCACCCACAGCATGGTGTTTCATCGACAGCTTGTCTGGTTCAGGTTCGGAACAGAGCGTGTAATCATGATGTATTTCTGGTTGTATCCGGCCGCTTTCGGGAAGCTTGTCCCAGACACGTGTTCGGCGCCGGATCAGGCAGTGACCTCTGGGGGTGCCCCATGTTAGGGTTATGTTCCCGCACATTGGTATGTTTCGTTTTAAGCAAACGAGGGCAACCACACGGGATGTTAAATGTTTATGAAACTTTAATGCCGACAAAGTGGACTCGGCAATGGAGCCCCGCGCTTACCAGGAGCTAGGATTGGTCTGAGAATGGCGCATTGCACACAGGGGCAGGAAGCCATCCTGCATTGGTCATTTAGCCATCGAACTACTGACCTACCATTCACGTCACTTTGACGAAAATGGCAAACGCACTGAGGAACAGATGTATAAGTAATAGAACACTGATACATGACAACTTCAAAACCGTGCAAACATTTGCAACTTCACAAACAAAAAACACAAACAACACCAAACATTTTCATCCCATCATTTGCAGCCTGAGACAGCGTGCCGATTATTCCCATTTCCCCTTTTTGCCTCTGGCTATATACATATTATAGCAATTTATGTCTCATGCTTTTTGTCATTGTATATAGGCTGTACACAAGACAGTACTAATAACCCCATTCCTAGCAGAATAACCAGGAGAATGGAGAGATACATGCATTGATATTTCGGCTACATGCCTTTATCGAAAAGAACATCGGCGGGGATATCACTTCTGATATTCTTTTGATAAAGGTATGAAGTCGAAATATCAATGCATCTGTCTTTTGATTCTCCTGGTTATTCTATGAGGAAGAAGAATAAGGCTATCAGTGCTGTCTTATCTATATGCATTATGCTCTCCGCAAATTCACTGAATAGCTTAGGTACATTAGACTGCGCACACCGTAATGTCACATCACCTCTTACTGTCGACCAGAGGTATAAAAGTCCGAGGACCGATGAGGCAGATCAGAATCGGCGCGTTCGGACTTCGCAAACTGGCAGAAAAGCCCAGTCCGCCCGCAGTGTCTTGGCACCGTCTCTTAGAGCGACAGCGACCCTGTTCCGGCAAAGCTCTTGTCTTTTAGCGGCTTTCGAGATAGATCGGTCAGGTCAGCAGACCCGTCGCGATTTTAAGGGGCTGAAAAGCACCCCGGACAGTGTTCCGACCGCACCTGAGTCACTGTCACTCCCTGGGCAGTGTTTCGACCGCACCTGAATCACCGCCACTCCCTGGACAGTATTCCGACCGCACCTGAATCACCGTCACTCCCTGGACAGTATTCCGACCGCACCTGAATCACCGTCACTCCCTGGACAGTGTTCCGACCGCACCTGAATCACCGTCACTCCTCAGACGGTGTTCAGACCGCATCTGCATCACCGCCAGTCCCTGGACAGTATTCCGACCGCACCTGAATCACCGTCACTCCCTGGTCACTGTTCTGACCGCACCTGAATCGCCGTCACTCCCTGGACAGTGTTCCGACCGCACCTGAATCACTGTCACTCCCTGGACAGTATTCCGACCGCACCTGAATCACCGTCACTCCCTGGACAGTATTCCGACCGCACCTGAATCACCGCCACGCGGCAGATGGTCCACAGCGTCTACCGGCGATGGATGGTCTACCGGCGCAGCAGCCAACATAGACCGCGTGGAGGGCAGGGTGCGGGCCCTATATTCGATTTTGTCACGCGCAACGAACGACAGAACATTCTCAAAAATCGCGCATCACCATCACGGTGTGCATGGTGAGAGGGCCGGCACCCCTGGACATCACGACCAGCCCGCAGAGAGCCCACTGAGACGGCATGTAGGACCACTTGTGATGAGGATGCACGGTTCCGGAGCTGGGGATTTTAGTACATGGTGGTGTTTTGCGGGAGGTTTTGTTCAATTCAGGGACATTTATCGGTGGGCATTTGCGCACGCGTGCAGTGTTCCTTTCGATGCTCCAAGGCCAAGCATATCTGGAACTACAGTAAAGGCGCTATGCAGTTGTAGTCTGGGAGGGTAGGTGGAATGATGGATGGTTGACATTGCTAGAAGTAGAAGGGCTTTTATTCACAAAGCGCTGATGCTATTGTAGATGGCTGAAACAGGACGAATAAAAAAGGGAGCTCCTAATACCAGGCTACCAATAGCTTGTTACGCTTGAAAAAAGTTTGGAGCATGCCAACTTACAATGCCTACTTATTTCACATCCTGACATCAACGGGTTGTTGGAAGCCTGAGGCTCATACTTCCTTGCATTATTTGGCCTTTTCAATCCACTTGAAATATAATTATTGAAATGCGTGGGGCATATGTTTTTGTCTTACTGTTCATATCTGGATGGTTTGTGACATTGGTGGCGCCATTTTTAAGCACTTCTTCCAGCAGCGATCGTTGGTTTTACGCATGCTTGTAAAAGTTCAACTATACTGCACTCGGCCTGTTGGAAGTTGGGTTCAGTGACTTGTCCCTTTCTGTACCTGAAGCCCGGGAGGTTACTGTGCGATAAGCCCTCAGTAAAAAACGGGAGCATTCAACTTGAAACAGACTCATACAATGGATTTCGTGAAGTGCAATTACCGTTGTCATGTCCTTATGTCCTGACAGCAAGAAATTTGCAGTTGCACATAGCAGCTGTCAACGCATCTGTCGCTCATTTTTTAACCACCGGCTGTGCTCCGATATGCATGTCAAATTATCAAAGAAAACTGAACATGCCTTTTTCAAACGAGAGTAATTGGGCGTGATTTGAACTACAGCCCTTCGTGCGCTACACCTTCAACTAACATTCGGCAATATACATCACTGCAGTAGCACATGCCGTGTGAAGTACTTCCTTACAAGAAGTGCTCATAACCATACATGGAGGTGGCACATAAGCAAATGGGGGTTACCAACGTCAGTGGCATTCATCACTCTAAAGCGCCTGGAAGGGTCTCAAACTCTCAGTGGTCTGAATAAGATGAGCTCCTGCCAGTAACTCTCACCAGACATAAGCATGTCCCACCATTGTTACAGACCTCGCTGTAGACCATGACTCCCACAAAATATCCGCAGCGTGAAACTTTAACCTGACACAGGCTGTGGACTCAACAGTTCACCACTACTCCCGACAATTTAAAACAAGCGCCGACACTGAGATGTCCCGCTGCTGTCGCATTCACCGTAGCTGGTGGCATAGTTTCATATCGGGAAGACTTCGCACAACTTTTCAGATCGCGTCGGTGTAATGTAAAAGTTTGCCTGCGTTCGACACAAGTGCTGTTGTACAATGGGCTGGTTATTGCACGCTGGGGCGCAGGACGGATATACGGAATATCCAATACCGCGTGTGTCGAACTTGAACAACCGCCCCTGGGAAAAGCTTACCCCCCCCCCCCCGCCCCCATATCCGGCCACTTCATTGCGCGCTTCCGTTTGCTCGCACGTATTTCACAGAGCGCTTTTGGGCCGATTCCGATATGAAAGCAGAGATTGAATATTTTGCTGAATATTGCAGCCGTATATTGCGCATGATCACCTTCAATGACCCAGCCAAAATGCTGCCAACACAAGCATCTTACTCTATCGTTCCCACCAATATAGTGCGCTATAGTTGTCATATCCTTCGTCAAGGATGCACTGCGGGCTCCAGAGGGTACCGTGCGGCTGAGAGGTACTGTAGTTGCCTGGGGGTGGTGAAGCAAGTCCCTCCCAAACGTGCCGAAATAACGCGGATTTCCTAAGGTCGCAACAAAGTCCGAGGGCTTAAAGGAGCTACTTAGGACAATCTCACAAGCATCTAAGCTAGTAAAGTATCTCACAAATGCCTACTTCTGTTTCACACCCTTTGTCATACTAACAGCTTACTAATCACAAGTAATGTTGATCCTTTGCAGGGGGGGGGGGGGGGGGCAAGGTTTTCCAGTTGCCCATTGCTATTGATTATCAAGACAAGCACTCGACAAATGTATGCCAACACTAGTTAATCGATGGACATTAAACGTATGTACCAAAGGTACACAAAACAGTGCATGGATTGAGGATGTTCACCTTCGCGTCTCATAGGATTCGTGTCTCACTACAGCATGTCCATTCTTTTGGCCAGCAGCATGGCCGTGATTTCTGCAAAACAGATTTACACTGGCAACAAAATATAGCGCATTTTGCTCTTGTTTGTTGTGACCAAGGAGCATTTAATCAAATTTATCAGCAAGAAGCCTCCTGATTTCAAGAGAGAACAATAAGTAAGATGTGAGGTTGTGCTAAACCTGTTGCCTTTTCTGAGCTTAGGCATGGGTCACACAGTAAGCTAAATAGCTTGGTAGTGGTGTTACAGAATCTTCGTTGGCGTGGCGCTGCACCATGCAGTGCAAGCCAGTCGCGTAGCAACTAAGGCTACAACTGCTCGTCACCTTTAAAATGGCCTTGAAACCAGCGATGGAGGGTTTCTTCTCGTCTGGGTAGGCTCTCAATGGAGAAATAGGAGAACGATCGAATGATCAGTACTTCTTTTATGGCTACGTCAGCAAGCGCCCCCCCCCCCCCATTGTACACATACGCGTACACGCGATATATACCTTGCGATTATTTAGTCAAAGTGTTTAGGGAAAAGATGTTGGGCTTGTATTCCAACGGCACTAGGTACCAGTCTCGGAGTGGGCGCGTTTTTGCTCAACTGACGTGGAAAGGCCAGCTGGTAACTGACCAACAAGGGTCAACTCAGGCCAAAGGCGGCCGTGCCGCAACATACGCAACAATCAAAACTCTCCTCAAGCCTGACTAAGTGGAAGCAAAATTAACCGTACATCTGAACGGAACACCTGGTTGGTAGGCTCAGGATACGCGTCACAAACTATGCTTAGCAGATGCCCTGAACGCAAACCCACACATACAAACAAAAAAGTGCGATCCGCAAAGGAAAACAATGCGCAAAAAGGCGGCTCAAACGTGAAACTTTCATGGTGAAATGTCAAGCTTTAACTAAATTCAATAAATGACGCGGATGTTGTTGCACCTGTCACGCTACACTCTCCGCTCATGCCAGTCTCCACTGCGGCAGATGTCGTAACAGCCTATGTTGTAACAAGTGGAGGACAGCGTCGCTGTGCAGGGCGCTGTTTGTGCACGTGGAGAAGAGACACACACGCCTACAAACTGAGGTGGCGGGAAGCCTGGGTTTACACGGAACGGCAGTCGAGTACACCCCACAAACACCACCTGAAGGCCGACCCGCGGTGGAAATCGGCCCATCTCGCGGTTTGGCTGACTCTAAGCAGCCACTAATGAGCCCTGGTGGCGGCCGCGGGTCCGGATTTGCACCTGAAGCCGAAGCAGCGCCGGCAGACCGGGGACCGGGCCTGTGCGGACCGCAGCTGAACCGGGAGCTCCCTGACGGACCACGGCCGGACCAGGAGCACCCCTGCGGACCGCAGCTGAACCGGGAGCTCCCTGACGGACCATGGCCGGACCAGGAGCACCCCTGCGGACCGCAGCTGAACCGGGAGCTCCCTGACGGACCACGGCCGGACCAGGAGCACCCCTGTGGACCGCAGCTGAACCGGGAGCTTCCTGACGGACTATGGCCGGACCAGGAGCACCCCTGTGGACCGTGGCCGGACCGGAAGCACCCGAGGGCACTGTGGTCGGACCAGGAGCGCTCGAAGCGCACCGTGGTCAGGACCAGGAGGACCCCTGCGGACCGTGGCCGGACCAGGAGAACCCGAGCACACCATGGCTGGACCACGAGCACCCGAGCGGACCGCGGCCGGACCAGGAGAACCCGAGCGCACCGTAACCAGACCAGGAGCACCCGAGCGAACCGCAGCCGGACCAGGAGCACTCGAGCGGACTGCGGCCGGACCAGGAGCACTCGAGCGGACCGCGGCCGGACCAGGAGCACTCGAGCGGGTCCCAGCAGGACCAGGAGCCGCCGCCGCCACAGCCGGCGCACCCCCTCGGCAGCACGCCTCACATGCACAGCCCGCCACTCTGCACGGGACAGCGGCGGCCATCCGCCCTGCCATGCACGCCGCGGCGCCCCCACTGCCGACCGGCCGGAGCTTGCAGCAAGCAGCCGACCGCAAGCCGGCGGTGACAACTGTCGGCCATGACTGCACGGCCGGTCCGCGGCTGAGGAGCACCGCCACAGGCGTCACGCTGCACCACTAAACCCGCCCGCCCGCGCCCCTCCGCTGACACACGTCATTAGAAACCACAATTCAGGAAAACTTGCCGCGTATCGGAAACATGATAAAGACGATAGCGACTAAAAGGTTTCCATTACAGACGGCCGGTGCATGCGTCGGGGGCCGGCGCGGCGCGCGGCCGCGCCGGCTGACCCGGAAGGGGCGGAGTCGGGTCACCGGCTGACCCGCGCCCGGGACTCACCCTGCGAGCGGTCCCCCATGGCCCCGTGCCGCCTCGCGCCCGCACGCGGTACCAGGTGCTCGCCGGCCGGCCGGCGCCGCTCTGCGCCGCCGCCATTTCCCCGCGCATTGGCTCCGCCCCTGGTATCACGTGACCGGCACAAGCTCCGCCTACTGCCGCCGCGATCGATCGGCGCGCCGGCGAGACGCCGACTGGCGCCGGCCGCGCGCGCTGGCGCCCGGTCAGTGGCAGCGCGCGCGGCCGGCCGACTCGCGCGTGACGTCACTGGAGCCGCGCTCAGCTGGCGGCCGCCGGTGTGTGCCGGGCGGCGGCGGCAGGGGCTGACGGAAAACTGTGGGGTGGAAGTACTCTAACTGGTGGATATCAGCTTGGAGTAGGATGGGATCCCTCAGGCATGTTGGTACAGGCTTCAGTCTGAGCTATGCCGCAAAAGGATTAAATCGTCAAAATACTAGCCCTGCCTTATTCTCGTTGGAACGGACGTAAAACCGTTAGTCCCTGAAACTGCTTTTTAGCCCCCAACATATCCCGGATAACTGCAATGTTGCCCCTGTCGTGCCTCGTACCTGGCCTCATTGTTGTAGAGACTCGCACATCCAGAGCAAAGTACCACTGTCATGCACTCATTCGCCTTCAGACGTCTTATGTGGTATATTCGTGATGGTGATTTGGTCTTTTGGGCACGCCGACTACCCCATTCACATGGTGTTCATTACTTGGTATGCTCTTGGTACGCCCGGCACATCAGCAATATCTGATTTGTTATACATAATCAATAGGGGTGCACGAGAAAAATGTCCCAAGGAGCCCAAAATTACTGAGAGATGATCCCAGCACCAACTGAGTCCATAAAAAAACACTTCGGCTCACACGGGGTGAAGTAAACGGAGCCAAATTTTTCAGCTTTTGGCAGGGTAACGAGATAAGTGACTCCCGGCAAATGGATGCCTTACTAAAAGTGTCAAACGACAGCAGTGAAACCTCTTATTCAGTCAAGGGGGGGGGGGGGACACCAGCCTCCCAGATTTCAGAAAAGTGGGCTAACTTCGAGGAGAATTCGCCTTTAGCAAATTTTGCCGGTAGGCTTAGGGATTTTTCCCGCATAGCCCCTCAACTTAGTTTGAAAATATGCCCCAACTTTCTGAACTTTTCGCCTAAAACAAGATTTTGGTAGGCCAGCGTCCTGCCTGTAAAGAAGCTAGGTTTACGAAAAAAAACATGCGCGTGGTACGCCGTTTGTAGAATGAGAAATTTCCATTCGTCCCAGGGAAAATAAGTTAAGAAACTTTTTTGAATGGACCTGATTTATTAATGTTGGATGCAGCTGCCTTCCAGATTTTTCGAAGCTTTGGCAGTGTGTTTATGACTATGTCTCAAATGAATGAGTGCAAAAATATAATCGGCATCCGCACCAATTTTTTGTTTTTACCAGAATTCCACCTCTGGTCTAGGCGGTGCACGGGAGAAGATATGCACGGCTGAGGCAGTTCTGAAATGTCGTTACGGTGATCTCAATGTCAATACCTTCAGATTACAGCAATCCATCGTGTCCACCATCATGAATAAGCGTATCAAATGGGGAAAGCTGACCAGTAACCGCCTGCTTATCGATTATCAGTAGTGCATTCTAAGACAGATCGATCGATGTCTGACAGCGTTTCTAGCAAGCTTTACTATTTTATCGTTTATTTTGACTGATCGAATAATGTGGATTTAGATCGGCAGCATACCCCGTGTTGCATGTGCGCTGAACCAGCCTCGCGCTGAACCCACCATCCAACAAAGGCCTTTCCTGCTTAGCGGATAATTTGGCCCCCGGGCTTTTGCTAGCCAGGAGCGTAGAGGGGTTTCAGTGACATATAATGCTATGGTACGGGGACACGGACCAGACTGAGAGTTTAGCTGACCTTTCCTTACCGCTCAGGCTAAACAATGTGTCCGCTCTGGGACTCGTGTCCATGACCGCTGGATTGCGAGTGGAGTACCTTTTCCTCATACCGCGGAGAGCGGGTTTTATGAGATTCTCTGCGGCCTCCGAAGTCTAAAATCGTTTTTCAAAAATTGTGACGCGACCAGAGCAAGGTTGCGCGACCAGAACAGGGTTCTCCGAGACCTCCGACTTAAAGAACCACTTTTCAAAAATTTTAGCGCGACCAAACCAGGACTCAAGTTCCAATATCTTGAAGACGCCATAACGGTAAGCCGTGCCTTCCAAAACAAAGTATACAGCAGGATGCAAGTTCACACCCCACCACTCTGCTGGGCGTCGGCGTCTCTTTGTAGTGTAACAACGGTACGCGAAAGGCCGTCGTTAGGTCGGATCAGGCCGGCAAGAGCCGTTGGGACAGCGAGCAGTTACTCGCTGAGCAGCCGCAGCCACTGGCTTGTGCGGCGTGTGAATATAGAGCACGAGACATGATTAATTCTGCCTATTTTATCAGGGCTTTTGTTGTTTTGAAGCATGTTGGTGGAACTAGGTAAGGAGTTAAAATTTTCCGCAGCGTATTTTAATGTCACGAAAAGTGCATATTGACAAAATCGATCTCCGCCAAACCACGAGGAACGATTTTTAATTTGCAACTAAATCTATAAATGTGGTCAAGTGGTTAATTTCACAAGGAAGCAATGAAATACTAAAAATGGACAGGCTCACACATAAATATCTGTCATGGAAGGAATACCAAGGGACAGCATTACCCATCGCCAATAGGCACGGCAATAACAGCATTGCCAGTTCCACAGACAGCAGCGGGTACCTGAATGATGGCTGATTACGCTTGCCTGCGTCCAATAACCAGGCTTAGAGGTGCGTAAACTGCACGTGGACTACAAATTTGTTCTTTTCATGCTGGATTTATAATCCGAATGCATTCAGTCGGGCGTACACGGAATCCTGACCAACCTCGGCATCGTCATGCCACGTGGCACCTAACAGAAAGCAAGCGTAGTATTTGGTGACAAATGAACGCGCCATAAATGTCATCAAGTTTCACCCGGACAGCTGGTGACCTCATCACACGTGAATAGCAAATACGAGTTCCTCCGTACACCACGTGAAGGGCATCTTGTACACCCGAGCCGCTTGAACAGCCGACTCGTCCTTAGATGCGGTTATTTTAAAACTTTGCTGGAATTGCAGGAATAGTTTGGAAATCAGTGCTTTCCTGTGGTTTTCCTCATGGATAAATACCGCATGGCTGCATGCATGTAGAAGAAAACATTGCTATATAAAGTTACAGAGCGGGCGTTGAGGCCTGAGCTGCGGGTAACTAGACTAGTTTTCGATTATCGATTCGCATGTTTTGGAACTGCAATGCAGGGCCACGTTTTCAATCCAACCCAGGCATTCGGGTGGTGTTTGCTGTTTGCACATGCCATTTGTGGTTGCACTCATGAATGCGGCTCAGACCGTTGTGTGTTTGCATGTGACATGTGTTCCGTGTGACCTGAGATTTGTTTGGCAAATGACATGAAAAAATGCAGTAGTGTAGTCCTGCCAAATATGCTTTAGGTGGGCTGAGCAGGGAAATATGGGTTAACTTGTTTTGCTGTTGTTTCTTGCTGGAGCTGGAGCCTGTTCCTGAAGCTGGATCCCATCAAATAAATAGGAAACTGCATGTATGGCATAGGCTAACTAACGTGGGGTTATTTCTGATTGGTCCTTGCTTTTGTGTTGAACTTTAATCCGCTAAAAATGAAAAGTCAAGCCGGTGTGTTCACTGTAGGATAGACGCTTATTAAGCTATGCTAGTCGGTTCTTGAAGTTGCAGCCTGTTATGGATTTTCTGTTCATAAAATGGCATGCAATACATAGCTGGAAAATTCAGTAATGAAATTAACCTGTATATCTCATCATTTTTTCAAACAAACGGCTTTTTCCATCACCCTTTGTTACCAACAATTGCTAGATAGTTCGGAGCAGTGTTAAGTAAGTTTGCTGTTAAGAAAACGCAGAAAGAAGAATTTAATATGCAGAATTAACGCCAATTCCCGCAATGTAGCCAGAAGTCCCCGCTTTTGGGCCCGCGGGCTAAAAAATGGCAGTACTTCTAGTGACACTCACTTTTCGCTCCCACTGAAACCTGGAGACTTGCAGCTTGCACAGTCATACTCACTCCCTTCTAATATGTTTTACACCCGCTCATTTTCTGCTGATTGCATGGCTTGATAAGCCGCAGTCGGCAAGGACTAAGCGGCCTCACACTCAGCAGGTCCGGAACAGTGCATGTATGACCATCGGTCACAGCGTTCGTCGCGGTGGTTCATGTTCAGCTGACGCAGACAGTTTGTCATCAGCTGACTCAGCGCCGGCGGGGCGCGGCTGACCGACGACACGCGTGTGCTCACATGGGAGGGTCGACCGTATCCGCGATCTTCTGGCCCGCAAAATGTGTCGGCGGTCAGGAGCTTATTACCGCTATGATGGCCCGGGACGAAGGAGCTGGAGAGCAGCAGCCTTTTGGACAATTGGCACCAAGCGAATCACTTCTGTGACCGATTCAACTTGACCTTTAGAGTTGGGAATTTTAATAGAACTATGACACCGCGTGATGAAATAGTTATTGCAAGGTCGAGTCAGTATCCCATGCTCAAAAGACCAGCTCTTGGCACTGCTTCAGCGGAATTTCCGACTCTAGCTAACAGTGCATTGGATAAGTTCCGACGCTGACTCAGAGAAGCATGACCAACTTTGAATAGATTTCGATTCTGACTCAAGGGCAGGGACTTAATCTCACGCAGCATTTGCAACGAAATAATCCCAGTGAAAACAGCTTAGGAGATAAGACTCTGCAAAAGAATATAAAAGGTGTGCTTTGGGCATTCAAGTTGATAACCAGCTAGCAAATATCACAGCTTTTTATCTGCTCCGTGTCGATAAAGCACATTTTAGAGAAAAAGGTTTCAGCTTTTTCACATGCTTCTTAACATGGCTTATAGGTTATTCGAACTGATGCAGTTAGCTCGATTCCGACTTTGGCTCCCGTAATTTTTCAAGAGAATCATTCCACCTTGGTTCAACGCATATTGTTCGGCTGATATAACCTTCATTGGTGCAGCTGCAGCCCGTC